GCCTCAGCGACGACTGATTCCATCACCTTCGCGAGCACAGGGAGGAGAGTCACTGGACGATAGTAAGCAGGATCGGAACGGCTACCGCCTTTAAAAATAGGGGTTATAATGCCACATATCCACATAGTGGGGACTTGTTGTTCATCAAAGCACCTTTGGAAGAACTGTGACAGTGGTTCAGCTAGCTTGGTGGCCGTAGCCTTCAGTGCCTTCGGGCGGATGTTGTCTGCTCCCGGAGAACTATGTTCACGCAGTGAGAGTAACTTCCTTAGCACAATTGATGGGTTGAAAGTAACATTTGTAAACAAAGGTGTCGGTAATGTGCTTGATATTATGGGACAGGTAGAGGTTACGAGTTCGAAGATTGGGCGTATTGAAGCCGCATGGCATTAGCTGTTTCTTCGGCGCTTTGTACTCTACCGCCTGTCGTGAAAAGTGGGGGGATCCCATGCTTCACTTTACGAAGCTTATTGACGTGCCTGTATAGCAGTTTGTTGTTTGCCATGAATTTTTTGGCTAGGCTCTGTTGATAAGTTACTTTGTCCTTACGGACAAGTGCAGAGCAATGGTTGCGAAGGGTCAGGAAATTTCCCCAAGTCTCTGAGTCGGGGTTAATCTTGTAGGCATGCCATGCTGCATCCCTTATCGTCAGGCATTTTCGAGTCCTACTCCTTAGAATTGAAGGCATTTTCGCGGGACGAAGGGGTTTGGTCTCTGATGCTTTGTTGACGATGTCACTGAGTTTATTAACGAACTCTGCCCAAACGTTGTCAAGGGGACTTTTGTTTGAGAATTCCGAAGCAGCTGCGTCGGCGAGTTCTTTCAATACGTGGTAGCGTGTGATTGTATGAGTTAGTTCCGAGTGTCCAGATGGATACTCTGCATAACACACATAGTCAAAAGTTATTACTACATGGTCACTGAGACCTAAGGGACTATCCATCAATAACTTGTCAACCATGAGCTCTTCATTCGTGAGCACAAGGTCCAGTATGGACGGTTTGTTTGCTGCCCTGAATCTAGTGGGCGTGGTGACATGATTGTACAAAGGAATATTAGCGATCAGTTCCTGCAAGTCTGCTTTGAACTGCTCACTGGGCGATGCCGAAAACTCCAGATTGTGTAGATTGAAGTCCCCGGAGATGAGAGTGTGGCTGTACCTAGTGCGTGTTACTCTGTTTAGGCCACGGATCAAGCAGGAATCCATTTCCGGAGTGGACGTTGGGGGCGGTAAACGACAGCTACTAGAGACGTGTCGTTGTGTCTCAGTCGGAGACGGCACCAGAGTGAGTCAATAACGTGTGTTTCCAGATCATCGAAGGTTGTACATTGTAGATCGCTGCGGTGGTAGAGTAGGACCCCACCTCCTCTGCTGGGGCGGTCGTTCCGGATGAGTGACATTCCGGCTATCTCAACCTCAGCATCAGTCACCTCTTGGTGTAACCAAGTTTCGGTAATAGAAATCAGATCCCAAGCATTCGCAACCTGACGTAGTCGAAGTTCGGTAATTTTACTGAGGAGCAATTGGGCGTTGGTGAACATACATGAAAGTTTCTTAGATTTAAGCAATGTTTCGGTGGTTCTACAACTCATATTTGAAGTTTCGCCGACCAGTGAGTGGCCGGCGACTAATCGTTTTTCAATGTGTGCTTGGTGAAGGGTTTAACATTTTATTCATCATCCGTGTAGTTAGTCCCGAATCTGATCTGCGAGGTACAGTGTAAGGTGTCTGGTCAATGTCATCTTCTACAGGTTGTATGTACTCATTCGGCACACTACTGGTGCATTGTTCTCTCATAGATCCCATCGCGTTTGGTTCTTTGAGTGACATATCATCTCTAGGAGGCATATCGCTGATTGTCTTCAGCCGAACCTCAGATGGTAGCTTGCAACAGAACATGTACCAGCTTTTTAACATCCGTGCTACCATATGTTTGACTGAAGAACCACCTTCAACACTCTCTGGTCAATTCCTTTGTAGTTCGGTGAGATACGCAGTCGTGACACGGATTTCGCTACCACATCATCCAATCGGAGTGTTTCACGAATATAACACCACTGTTCTTTACCATGGGTTGTTATTTCATGCTGATCACATGCTTCGGTTTCAGGAACCCCGTGAAGACGTATGGTTCTGGTTGAAGTTTCCTTCCGGTAGTTCTCTAAGGTGCGGTGAACTCGATAACGCTCGCCCCATGGATTGTCTGGAAAGATACGGATGGAGCAGTGTTCATTTCTGAGACTACCTGCCGACAGTAGTACGGATTCTACTTCAGTGATGGAGTTCAGCACAACACGCAGAAGTCTCGGCCCTCCGAAATGTTTAGAGTTGGGGTGTCGTGTAATACGCATTACGTGTACAGGTTTAAGTACAACACCGATTAGGTTACTAATAATGTCCCACTGGTTGAGGCCATCCAATTGCCTGCCTCTTATCGATGTCGAATTTGATTCTGAGCTATTGGAGCACAGTACGCTCAGTACAGGTAGTTGTTTCTTTAGACCTTTCGACATGTCGCGTTTAGTGACTGAAGTAATCGGAGATTTACCGCAGGAAACCGGTGGTGCTTGCACCTGGAAAACTCCCCAACACTCCTCAGTTTCCGATCCAGTTGAGGGTGATGTTACTTTTATATGACGGCTCTTCTTGGAGGCAACCGTAACCCAACTTTCAGTCGTAACGGCTTGCTCTTTATCTACGCACTCCGTCGCGAGTTTAGAAGTAGCCTTACGTGTAGTTACTCCGATTGAACTGGGAACCGCTTTAGTCAAATGTGAGCTACATGTGGTATTGGGACAGCTGTTGATGTTCCGGACTTTAGGTGTTGTGCTGCTTACGGTGTTATTAACAGTTCTTCGCGGTTTAGGAGAAGCACTTACGGGAGAGGATTGGGTTGCACAGTCTGCTACGCTTCCCCCAACCCCAGTAATTTTGGTGGTCACCATTTCCTCAAACTTCACTAGTAGCTGGTCATACTTCTGAGATAATAGGAGCACGCTTTTTATCAGTGGGATCGACGTGCATTCCACACAGAACCATCGCAAATCTGGTCTGTTTAGTAACTTTGCCTGACTAGGTTGAACTCTGAGGCATCTCGCATGGAAGAACTTGCAACAGTTACGGTACAAAATGCCCCCCTTAACAAGTTTGGAACATGATCCACATAGGTCTTTAGTCTGTGGCACGCCGGGCATCACGCTTGTTGAGCAAATGTTACGAACCATTTGATTGACTCACCTTCTATGGTAAAAGGTCGTTCTGTTATTGACGTTGTCGGTAAGGTCACAGTGGTCACGTTGTGGTTGAATTTTATACTGTCCTCTCTGGCGTGCCAGTTGAATGTGACGGCTTGAACGTGGGGCAGATTACACGAAGGTGTGATTGAGAATTTTCGTGGTTTAGCCTATGGATCGCGCCGGGTGAATCTGCCTTGAGACCTGTAGCTGCACCGAGCAATGTTGGATTTGAACGAGTGACAGTTCGTTCGAAAGCCGTTGAAGTGGTCTATCGAGTGAGACCATACAATGTCTCCGATGATTAAAGTTAGACAACTTTTGCGGCTTGGATATCGACGAAACACGGCCAGGAAGTTAGAAATCAAGATAAATGTATGATGCACTGGGGTATACTCCGGAAACTGGTATCACAAAGTAGAGCTTGTAAAAGCACGACGAATGAGTATGGATCCAAAGGTGTGCGACAAAATGTCGCTGAACCACAGTTAAAAAACCACGAGTGCACAAGTGAGCGATTAGCACGCAGCTTCTCTCAAGGTCAACCTTGAAAAGGTGATAGTAGTAGCAGTAGAAGTGGTAGTACTAGTAGGGGTACTCGTAGTAGTGGTAGCAGTATTAAAAATAAAAATAGTGAAATTATTATTAATAGTAATGTAGTAATATTAATAGTGCTAGTAATGATAGTGGTAGCAGTAGTCGCTGTTGTTGTAGCGATGGTGGCAACAATAGCACCAGTATACTTATAGTGGTAGTAATTGGGTTATGTTGTATTATTCGTTTCTGCGTAGTAGTTATGCATAGCGGCCAAGCCAACCAGATAAAGAGGCTGATTCGATGTGTGTTAGAGGCAGGCTTGGTAGGCATTGTTCAATCCGTTCAGACATCTTGGTGTAAATGTACGTCAAGCGTAAACAAGTGAGCAGGAGAATGAAATAATGGATATGGAACATGGGAAATAGTGTGCTTGAAACTGAATCTTTGAGGCTCACGTTGCTAGCTGGCATGCTTACACTTGGCACTGCAAGTGGATCAAAGCCGGCGAAGTAGAACCGTAAAAATTGCAAGTGTTTTGGGTGCGTTATACAATTTCAATCGAACTCGGTACGGAAGAGTTTGATTTGCACTGACCTCACAGAATATCGGTACGGCTGTTTTGCATTCCCGACTAATCAGCTACCCAAATCGGAAAACAAAGACCTTGATAAAGGAATACCTCTTATCCCGAAAATACATCGGCACGCACACGATCTGACTACACATTCCAACCAAATATTGTTATGACGGGATTTCATGCTACCGGAGGCTGGCGAACCGCTCTCCTCCACTGAGTCTAAGCCAGAATAACTATTATCATCTAACTCCAACAAAAGACTATCATTCGTTGCCCGTACTATTGTTTTCCGGCAACTGCGATTATGGCCAGTTCGCATGGACTGTGCTTCATAGGAATTTTGGCCGCAGGCGTCGTGCCGGTTGCGAACTTCCGTGCATATCTTGCCGCATTATTACGGGGTACAATACTTTGCATTCTCTTTCTGTAGCCCTCCGTTTTTTGCTTTCATAATCTCTAGCATGATGTTCACATTCTATAACTTTTGTCAAAACATTGGCAAGTTTTCATCTGGTGTCCGCAACAATTTCTTCCGTGCGTTGTGCTCTTCTGCTGCACATGCGAGGCCAAATGCTAGTTTGCGGTGACATTTCTCATTGGCAGCAGATATTCTTTGTTATCTTGTGCGTTTTATAAGTTGCATTATTTACATATGCGGTACTGTCACTCTTCATCCTTACCATTCCACCCATCTCTCGGCTTCGGACGTGACGCTGCTTCGGCTCTCCCTCGTCGCCAGAAAACTTTATCACTCCAAACGTCTAGGCAATATCGTGGGGGCTCTCGGTTGATATCTCCACCACATTCCACGTCAACAAAGCAGTCTGGGTCTAGCGTTTCGGATGAACAACCTCAGTCACGTGTCTCTGGACGGCAGTCTTCGTTTGAGCTAAAAGAAGGGGCTACGTTACAATCGTTCCCAGGGCACTGAGCCATGCTGCGTCATCCATTCGACCGAACTCGTCTTTCCGCGCTTACGACTCAAGTGGTCCGGAGTTTAGCCCATTGGATCGTAAAACGATATGCTCTGGCCGTTCGGAGCGTGGGAGTCCACCACAATCCCGCACCCTTTCAAAATCTCGGCGGCCACCTCGAGTTCGTTTTGACTCAGGCCGTGATTGTCGGTTATTCTTCGAAGCCGTCCCCTCTACCCTCCAAACAGTGCCGGTCGGCTCGCTCTAAATCATGCGGCAGAAATTAGGGAGAGGGTGGTTTTCCACTCAGACAATTCTGAGGTCATCCCGGCATTTGTGATCGACCATATGGCGACACAAGCCTATCCATTTTCCCTCTGTTATTCTATTCATCTTTGTTACTTCTACTAATCGCCTAGCATGTTTTTCCACTCCGTCGGCCTCTGACTTGTCCCATTTGTACTCAATCTGTCACACACAAACCCTGCTCCCGGTTGGAGGACTATTGTTATACAGCCGCTAGTTTAAACTATTCATTCCGACACTTTGCATTACTGTCGTATTTGCGCTGTGTGTAACCCCCGTGCGACCACGACCGCAACTTGAAACCCTATCACTGTCACCTCCCGCTCCTAATGTTTCTCTCATTACTCGCAATATTGATGAAGTGTGTGCCTTCGTGTTTGTATTTTGAACAGAAGCAGCAACTCCGCCTGTTGGGACATCTACCGTACCGTTCAGTTCTTGACTGCCTGTCTGCCTCGCCGAAAATTTTCTTGTCCTCTCTTTTCCATGCTGCTACATCTTCCTTCGTATACCCTAGTCATCTCAACGAGTTACTGTATCCTCAGCGATTGTCCTATCTTAAGACTCATTTGTGGTCAACATTCAATAGTTACTATGCTGATAACTCACCAATCTATTGCTGCGTCCTATGGCAAAGCTTGAACGGAAAATGCCATCAACATCTCTGCATCCTTCGATGAGGAAAGACTGCAGTTGAGCTCTCTAACTATTGACGACGCACCTGGTTTTGTTGCCGCGTGAACATATGGAACGTGTTACCCATGGTTGGCCATTCAATCACTAAGACACCGATGCCACCAGGCTATGCCAAATTCTAGTCTCCTCGTAATAGCAGCTCTATCCCAGAACTAATGTTCATCCCTTAAATGCACCAGACCAAGTGTTTTTGTTGAATGTGAAAATCCTCATTACCGAAAGTAGCACGACGACCCTATAAACACTACCACGTGCTTACGGCGACGCCGACGAATTCTTCACTTTTTAAGTACAGTGGTTTCCCCGCAAGCGCACAACGACCTGTTGCGTCCGTCCTTCTGCACCATCGGGGATCTTTTGCCTTAGATTTCGCCCTCTGTACTTTCGTGGATTGCTACTTTTGCCTCGAAATAACTGCGATCGTCTTAGGTATACAGCTGATATTTTCGTCCATATCATCTCGACTGTTCGGCAGGCAAGAAAATCAGCAGGACACCGACACAATATACCATCGCTTCATTGACACAAGACCACCACCAATCGCACCCGAGCGACTGATACTGCGAGGTCACCTGCTCTTAAGTAGATTGCATTCAGTGATCTGTTAATTACAAAGCAGAAGTCTTATCCATTCGGCCACAGGATGTTATCACAATCGATGGAAACATCACCACCAAGTTGTTTTTACTATTCTCGTGTTGAGAAGTTTCGATGTTCGTTTCTTGCTGCACATTACTAAAAGTCGGATTAGCTTACGTTCCGATGCGTTGGCCGTATCTATAAGCTTTGCTAGTGCTCAGGTGTAATACATACAGATGGATTACGATGATCCTCTTGCTTGTCAGCATCAACAGACACTAGCTAAGAATTGGGAAACACCTCAGCTACTGTACGGAACTAAAGAAATTAAAGTATGCATTCATATATTATTCCTATTCAAATGTCAGAAGGAAAACTGCGAGGAAATTTATTTTCGATAAATCTCATCAGTCACTTACAAATATTCGTTTCACAAGTACTGGAATAGAAGCCGTTACTAGCGATGCGGTGACCGGAGGAACGGTGGTGGTCGATGTTAATTTAAGCAAACTGCCATTGACCACTATGTTTGGAGTCAGCTGACCAGGCATGCCCGCGGCAGAATTACACTGCATTCGTACACACTGTTTACACAGTTCCAACTTGAGTTCCTTGGTCGCAGTTGCTTCTGCTGTGGTCAATAGTCGCTTTCTGAGTCCTTTTAGCCAGCATTTTGATGCCACATATATATAAGAAAGGCGAGATAAACAGTCTAAACCACACTCTCATTAAGTAATAATACGATGCTTAGTATGGCAATATGCTTCTGTGCAAGAGCATAGTTGCAGGGAGAAGGCAGGAAGGATGGGGGACAACGGAAAAACAAATGCCATTGAGTTCAGCACTTCACTATATCAACACGTGTACAAAACCAAATATGTTCAGCATCCTTAGAACCACAGCCCGATAGTCGGGAGGCACCAACGGAAACCAAATTCGAAGTGAGATACTTCATTTCGCTTGATTAAGTCGTCCTTTTTACCCCCACTTCTTACTTCCGCCCACCGGTCCTGCGAATGACGAAAGGAGTCGAGGTGGTGAGATGCGCAACACTTGGCCCAGCCATAGGAGCCGGATGAGTGATCTAATGGTTCTGAGTGGTTCACTGGTTCTTCCTGCACCGAGTACGCAACGCCGAACACGCTCATTGCTCGCGCGGTGTTCGCACTAGATATGAGCTAGGTTGCGAAGGCAGCCATGGTCCAACTTGACTAGCCTCTTTATGTCAGTAGACTTGATGGGCCAGGTTTCACAACCCATCTCAAAAGAATCGCATAATATAATATATGACAATATATACCTGCCTTGAAATTTTTAGCCTAACTTTTCTGTATCTTATTATTTTGCATTGGGGCACATAAGCTGTGGTGTGGTTCTCACCCACAACTAACGTGTATTGGTTGATTGAGATCATCACCATCGATCAACGCTGTGGTGGTTTCTTGCCAAATTTGGAGAAGCAATTTTGTTTCGTGAATGCAAAGCATCGTGCGAAACCACTGAGATTTGCTGGTTAGTACGTTGGGAAGCTGTCGCAGGTAAGAGCAATGTAGTCGGCGTACTCCAAGTCCAGAAATCGATTAGTTAGGATCAAGTCCACACCTTGTAGGCCATGCCCAGTAATCGCAATGCCCGTGAATTAGTTGATGGCAAGGTTAAGAAGGAAGGGTAACAGTGGGCATCCTTGTCTCACACCTCTTGGGATATAGAAGAGCTGTGTGCGTGCAGAGGTCTGGTAATGTTTACGTGATATTCGCGAACATCTTTCCTGGGCATCTTATTCCTTGTCTTGCAGGTGGCTTTTGATCAAACGTGAATTTATCGCTAGTTACTTTTGAAGGACACTTCAGAGGAATTCCTTTCTGTCTATACCAACATTTGTCACTTCTTTCGACTGTTTTATCACTCCAGGAGAGGCGCACCTATGAGTTCATGTTAAGAAGTAAAACTCCTGACAATCTCCCAAGGCGCCGATCTCTCATACGGATCCACAGCATGTCCGGTGAACCGAAACTCGCACGCCTGGATTGGACGAGTACGTAGCTAATTGGATGAATCGGCTAGTTGATAGAGTTGCTATCTCAGAAGCTGAACAAGCAGAGTGAATCCACGACGACAACCGCGCGGCAATCTGTGGACGCCCTTGCGGCTTCAATTACAGATTTTGTTTTCGTTGGATTGAACGGATTGACATTTGAATCCTGGTTCCTCATGTATGAAGATATTTTTCGAGTGGAAATAGCAGACTAAGAGGATGCCTGAGAAGTTCGTTTATTGTTAAGGAAAGTTGGGGCAGCGGAGCATGAACCTTACACAAATTTTATGTTTGCGGACAATGCAAGAGACTTCAGTTTCGATGAGACGGTGAAAATGTTGATGCAGATATTCGGTGATCAGGCCTTTCTGTTCTGGGTACGTTACAATTGTTTGAAGGTAGTCAAACGCGATACCATTTGATTTTGTCACACATGCCGGGATGGCCAATCGCGAATGTGAATCATTCAAATTGGGTATGATGACACTAGGTCAATAAACGAGTCATATTTTCGTGTGCAGTCTCCAGTCCCATGCTGATTGCGATATTCGAAAACGAATTCTCCACAAGCTCGAATAATAACCGCAGTTCACGCTGCAAGAGATTACAGCCGAATGTCAGCGACTGAGTAATTTGAAGTAGGACACGAAAATGAATGAAAATGCTAATCACAGGACAGAACCCCAGATTTGTCGCACAGCTATTCGTGGTAAAGTGATGAACCGGAATCGGTCAACTCAGAAGCCCCCGACCGCATGCTGGATTCGTGGCGCTTGGCATTTTGTGAAAGACTGTATCAACAAAGGGCATCAGTGTCACAAGTGCAAGTGATTTAGTCGTAAGGAAACCCACTATCGAGTTGTGCACAACTTCACACGTTTATTTCCCTCGAGATTGTGCACAAACATCAACTTCAAAAGGGCTATGTTTAATGAACAGGCCACCAAGATAATTCTCGCTGCGTTTCGCACGGAATTCTCAGGCAAGTACAAGTAGTTGACAGTAAAACTCAATGATATTACAGTAACCATGCAACTAGATACAGCGTCAGACATCATTATCATTTCGCTGTCCAAATGGAGGATGCTTGAGAGATCGTCTTTCAAGCGCATAACTCTGATGGATCAGAGAGATGGAGAGATTGAATGTCAGATCAGCTTCGAGGAACGACAACTCCGTGGCACGATCTACCTAGTCTCGTGCGCCGACGTTAATCTTCTCGGAATCGATTTGATTAAGAACCTGAACTTGCTCAATGTACCAGTGAATCGTGTCTGTGCTGAAAGGAATGCCACGATGCACCATTCAGCCATACGGACTCCTCCGGCGCAAAACATCTCTGAACAGCATCAAGCGAAGTATGCGTGTGTATTCCAGTCGGAACTTGTGCACTGTAAGAAA